AGATCCACCGTTACCTCCTTGAGGGTCTTGCCTTGCACCTTCCAGACAGTGCGACAGAAAGCAGGGACAATAGGAAGTTGAATACGTTTGACTTTCCGATTGATAGGCGTTGATGTGAGGCCAAGGAAGCTCTTGCTGAGAGGGAAAGAGCGCACAGCTGGTGTCAGAGCTGTGTACGGGTTCGGTCGTGATCGTTCTCCATCAGCCACATGCCGAAGGACGGCCGTATGCGGATGGGCTTCGTCAGATGAGGACAGGCGGGGGGGAGGGGAAGCCCGTGAGATGAGTGTGTCGGCTGTTCTCGAACTGCAGGATGACCTCCGCTGGATCTGCAGCCACGCCCGTAGCTGCCAGACACAGCCAGTGTCTGCATTGCAGTTCAGCAAAATAGACCTTCACCGCCTTCATGACGGTCTTGCCGGTGCCGCCCCCGCGGGTCAGGCACACATTCGCAATGGCGCGATGTATTTGTTGTCCCTCAGGTCTTTGTAGTGGTTCAGCAACTGGCTGCAGATGATTTGGAACGCTGACGGCTCGCCCACTGAACAGAGAAGATCCTGTCGTCGACCGTCTCGGGCGGCTTGAATGCGGACGCCGGCTGCGCCAGCAATCGAGTGAGGTCGGCAGCACCCATTGAGTGACCACCGTGTGTGAAGATATTCGAAGAGAAGCTACTCAGAAGGCTTGCTTCATCTGACGTGGCGCGGCTGTGGCCGATTTCATTTACCTTGTTGCGTTGCTGGTGCAGGTCATCGTTGGGCTGATCCTGGCGGCTCCCATTTGATTGACAAGCCGATTGGCAGTCACCAAAAAGCAATAAGTTCACATCCAATTGCATCCAGCGATGCATTGATACACTTGGCGAAGCAGGTCTTCAACACGGGCGCAGCAGGAGCGGCAATAGAGGGTGTGTCTTGTGTTCTTGGTGCAGCCCTCTGAGTACCTGCATGTTATCGCCACGTCTGTCTTCAAGATCTGCATGTTTTTCGAGCTCTCGCAATTGTTGTCTGCATGTTTTTGAAACTCCCGCCATTGTTGCATGCGTGGGCTTCTCGCCAACACTCGTGCTGTGCATGTCTCTGTGACGCATAATTGAACCACCACTTCGCACGCTTTTTTCGACCCCCGCCCAATTCGCGGCCCGGGGTGCGCACTCAGTGGGTGCTCCTTACTCGCAATGTTGTAATGTGGGGTCAGGCCGACAGAGGACTTGGCCGTCAGGCCGCCTAGGGTACTCCCTGAAACCGCTGCTGCCCTCCTTTCGTGGGGGACGCAACTCCCACTCTTTATTACACAGGGGACGCACTTATTATCGGCCATGTATAGTTAACGGCTGGTCGTCAGGCCTTCACAAAGTCGCAGCCGAAAGGGCGTAAGGAGCCCTATCACATGCCCCGCCTGAAACGGGACTCATCGATAATAATTGGCAGGAGAGGCCATTTTACACTGTCCCGACCGGTGATATATGTGACACATAGTAATTACAGAAAAGTGAGTGCTGCTCAATAATAATGTAGGTATTGTATTAATCACTCAATAGTACAGTACTCAATAATACCTCGGCTGTATTGTAGTAGTTTAGAAATAAATAAAGCTTGTCATAGGGATTATTACGAGAAAGCCCCATAATTATTACAAAAAATACCCCTGGGCCCTGGTCGGGCAGCTCATTCGCTAATATTCAGGGCACCTGTGCCTGCTTTATTAAAGCCATCGGGACAGTAATAAATCTGGTTCTCCTGCCTCAATGATTATCGATGAGTCCCTTTCCAGGCGGGCGTGTGATAGGGCTCCTTACGCCCTTTCGGCTGCCAGACTTTGAAGGCCTGACGACCAGCCGTTATCTATGAGTACATGGCCGATAATAAGTGCGGTCCCCTGTGTAATAAAGAGTGGAATTACGCCCCCTTGACGCCACGTCAGCACTCACTTCATCATCCCCTGAAACCAGTCACCCCTCTCTCTCACACTTTACCCGCACGTATAGAGAGGGCGGTGGCGCGATAGCGCCTCTCTCTGCCAGGGCGGTGGTGCGAAAGCGCCTCTCTCTGCCGGTTGACTGCCTGTATCTCCCGTCTTTCTTGCTTCCACACACAGACATTGAAAAAATTCATTCAGAATTCCACAAGGCATTTCGCCTCCCCATCTGCTCTGCGATGGCGCCGCCACAGGCGCAACCCCTCCAGCACCTCGCTATTGCAGTTGGGAGGAGAACATGGAGGAGAAGCGTTTGGCAGCCTTCAGGTGCTGGCGGCAGAGGTCGTGGCGGCAGAGGTCGTGGCGGCAGAGGTCGTGGCGGCAGAGGTCGTGGCGGGGGGCGGTCGTACTTTGGCGGCACAGGGGGGCGCCCGCTCACAACACTCGACGATCGCAGCGCAGAATGGCCCAAACCAAGTTGTTGTTCCAGAGCCCTTGAAGATGGCAGATAGCTTGACACCATCCGGGACCAGCCACGGTGTAGACAGTGGCCTCCACCTCGAGACGGTGCTGCTCAGTCATCGCTGCCTGACATGCATACATATACACATTCAGGTGCATCATGAGGCTGAGAGAACAGAGCATGAAGCGCATTCGATTCAGTGGTTATATTGGCCTTGTCGAGGCCGTGCTCCGGAGAGAGACAGAGACAGACATGGAGACAGCACTGACTGCGCCGCACAGTTCCGCCACACCGACCTGGCAGCTGGATCAAAGCGACTGTAGCCCTCGAGGTCGGCGGTTCTAAGAGGCAAATGGCGAAGGGGAGGCGCATTTTTTCCAAATCCCTAACCGATACGGCGCGCGTGTGTCTGTGTCCCTGTTGCATGTACCCTTTTTGCCTCCCCTGACCATCACCATTGCTTAGACAGAGCCCCACAGGGACGAGACATGTCCAGCGACGCTGTACTTGCAGCCGCCTGCGATTGCAGAGTGTGCAACTCTCAGCACCGAAGCATCAGGGAAAATCCCCATGAACGGAACAATCATTGACTCCCATCGTGATACAGGAGTCCCCCGAGTCTCCCAAGGTATCTATCGGTTCATTACGACGGTGATGGCTCTGTGTCAGCCCACAGCAACGTGAGCGGAGATCAGGGAGAGGAGGGCGTGCCAATGCGTCGGTGCCTGCCCCTGCGGGTGGCTCATGTCGAACGGCGGAGGGCCCGTCCATCCTCTTTCCTTCATCCTCCTCCTGCTGCATCTCTGCTAAGGCCTGTATGTGCCTGCATTTTGAGTCGTCTGAACACCCCGTTGAAGCCTCCTCCCTTTGATTTGCAATGTTTTAAAATTGACTCCCTCTTTTTTATTTTTATTTGCGAATTTTTAGAATTACTCCTTGGATTTTTCGAGGAGTTTGGGACGTCATAAAAGAAAAGATGGGGGGGATGTGGGGGGGGCCAAGCCCCTCGTATTTTCGCCCGCGGAAAATGGCTATGTTTAGTGCCGAAGAATGCGCTCGGCACATCCCCGAGACACAGGAAAAATCGGGGAGAATAGTTGATTGGTTGATTGATTGATTGGTTGATAAATTGTTGGTTCATGTACGTATCATCCCCGACTGTCTGTCTCTGTGAATGAATGTGATGCCTCTGCCGACACTGTCTGGCTGTTTGTCGGTATGAATTATGTATGCATGTCTCTAGGTTTTGTGTGTAATCTTATGTCTGTCTTATGTGTGCGTGCGTATATGTGTGCGGACGTGTGAAGGCAAATGGACTGTGTCGACAATACAAACGAGTGTTATTCAGTCCGATGTGTGAAGCATATTGGTTTGTGAGAGAAGAATATGGCAAGGAAGATGTGGTTCAAATTGTCTGTTCAAAGTCAACAGAGGTACGTGAGACTGCGATATCAACAAGATGCAAAAAAAAAACGGGATGGCTCCGCACCGTCGCCTTGACATCTTAGCGTCCACGGGTTGCAGCCAAATTTTTTTATTTTTTCCCCTCTTTTTCTTCTTGGCGGTTATTGGCGGCTTTTAAAACATGTTCCTTGTTTGTTGTAATTTCTTTAAAATTTCTCCTCGATTTTTTATTTATTTGCGTTGTTTTTTCTTTTCTATAGCTGATTCCGTTGCGGTTCTGCTCGGACACGTCAAGACGTCATTTTGCCGTCACGTTGCGTGTGCTCCAGCAGATCTCGAGGTTGCTCTTCCGATCTCAAGCACGCTCCCAACCATCATTCACGAGGCAGTCAGAGTCAGCGCATCAGTGAGTAAAGCCAATGGGCGCGGTGAGCGCTTCTAGGGAAGGGAATCTCTCCCAACCAACCTCACTGACTCGCCCTGCTTCAAGCAACATAGCTTGGAAGCGAACAGAGAAAAACGGCTAGTAGCAAACCCTGATCGGACGCTTCTTGCCCACTGGGCGAGCCACACAGCAAAAACGTCAGGCCCGGTTGCATTGAAATAAATTTATGCGGTTTGCCGATTTTTTTAATATTCGGCACATTTGGGACGTTTTAAAAAATGCGCGATCAGGGGAGGAGGCCTCAACGGTGTGCGTGTGAATAATGAAACATTGGAGTCACACGAAGTCTTTGTTAAGGTACGGTATGTCTGGGTCACACGTGGATCCGCACGCCACACATGCATGCCCAGCTTGGACAGCTCCATCCGTCTAACATTTTCATCCATTAATGGTGATGTTCGACCATGCTTCCTTGTTTGGTGATGAAAAGGCTTGGACAGCTCCACGACCTTTTCATCCATTAATGGTGATGTTCGACCATGCTTCCTTGTTTGGTGATGAAAAGGCTTGGACAGCTCCACGACCTTTTCATCATTAATGGTGATGTCAGCATTCAAAATCCATAACCGTCCGTTGTGTAGATGGTGTGCACTCTGCAAGTGCTCCACCGCCTACCCAGATTGTTCCAAAAACGATTTCTCCATATATGCATTGATACACTCGCCACGTGTACGTAAGCCAAGCCCGCCCCCCGTTGCCGTCCGTCCTTATAAATCCAGTTACCGACCGCTCTCACACTTTCTCATGCTCTCATTAGCCGCTGTACGCCCCTCCATGATGCACTCTCTTCGCTCGTCGCTCGGCTCTTAGCCGAGCGCACACAGAGCAGTGTAAGACCCTCTCGAAACTATATATGCATCACATCATCAACATACTCGTTATACGTTATACACCCCTTCTAGTGATATCCTCCGTGATTGAGCCGTCGGCTCGATGGCAGCATCCCTGGCAGACTTCGGCAGTGACGGCAGACCTATGGGCAGACTCCCCGTCAGATGGGCAGGCCCATCTGACGGGTGGAGGGAAGTTGCTCATCATGGCGCCCTCGCCTGTGGCTTCGGCCTCCTCTGGGCCGGCAGGGATGTTGTCAGAAAGTAGAGAGGGGTGATGTCTCCGGAGGGAGCGGCCTTGCGGTCTTGACGGCGAGAGTTGAAGTACCTCTGGGGCAGGGCAGGAGGCTTGGATGCTTGCTTGTTGAAGACAAGAGGGAAATCGAGAGCGATGATTTTGTTCCGACCAGATGACGCAGAATGGGCGGAAATGACGACCTGAATATTCCCATGGGAATGACCATTCCCGTGGGAATATTCCATTCCCGTGTGAATAATCCATTCCCGTGGGAATAATAGCCTGGCCGGCCAGTCATTTTTTCTCGGCCAGGGACACAACACTGTCCTGAGCGGCCACTCAACCCGCACGCACCATTGATCCTTTTTATTTGAAAAATGAGTCATAACAGCCGCATTTGCCTCTTTGAATCAGTAAAAGCGGAGGCTACAGCGACACGTCGCCATCACCTTCGAACAGAACATTGAACAAATGACTGTACTTATGTCGCCGTGCTTCTGGCGTGCGCCAGAAGCGTAATGTTGCATGTCTCTGCAAAGCGTCTCACAGCAAACAATGCCACACGTCAACCGGCGTGGTGCGAGGCCTTTCTGCGGCGAGGTATTTCGGCATGGTGATGTTCTGCATGTCAAGACCAAACTTCCCTTCTTGCTCCTCCTTCATTTTTACAGCAGCTGTGCGCTTGATGTCGTCTGTCAGAACCTAGTTGTGATAGGTTGCCTGTTGTGATGTTCTTTTGTGTGAGACTTCTCATTCATGATATTGGAGCCAGCTCCTGTCCGTCGAGCTGATGAAGCACCACGCGTCCCAAGTGGCGAGTCGTCACAAGGCGCGGCGGCCGCCAGAGGGCCACGGAGGGCCAGCGCGTTTCTCGAGGACTTCGTCTTCGGCGGGGCACACAGGCCACACACCAGCCCCTCTTCGGGGCTGTGAGGTGGGTGGCTCGATCTCAGTGCAGTGTGTATGTGTGTATCGTGATGCATGTCTCACGCTTGTTTGCAGTGTCGACATGTGAACTTCGTCCCCGCTCAAATCTTTACACACCAATGCGCATGATAATCTTATGCATGTATACATGTCGTGTTGTAGCGTTTGCAACTTCTTTTTTTTTATTCCTTACTCCCAGCATAACACAGGACAAGATAAGTCCTCCTGACACTCTAGCACTCAGCCCCAGACTTCCTTCTCGGGGCACCTCGCAATTGGGCATTCCGTTATGGGCAGAACAGGCAACTTCTCACAACTCGAGGGATTTTGACAGGTGACATCAAGCGCACGAATGCCCGAATAGCTCGTCGAATACCGCCAAGCACGGAGAGCGTTGCCGGTGGAGGGACACACGCGATTGACTTCCCTGGATCCAAAGACAGAGAGATGCAGCTTGTATGCGGTGTTGTGCTGCTCACTCACTGGCTTACCCCGAATCTGTCGCGTCAACCAATCGAGGAGACGCAATACTCACTAGATACTTGCCGCCCGCCAGTCTCTGGCAGGATGAGACGAAATCCGCCCGTGTGAGGTCAAACTGGAAGACCTGCTCCGTATCAGCCACCCAACGACTCGGATCTCCATATGGTCTCCCGTACTTTCGAATCTCCGGCGTCCGAAACTCCTGCCATAGCAAAGCAGGCAAAAGGGAGAAATTCACTCGATATTCAAGACCCTTGCATGCCCATGTCAGCACCTGACAACAGCTTCCCTCTGCCAAACACCCATTGTTCAGCAGGACGAAGTTGCGCGTCGGCGACACGTCACATCTCGCCTCCTTGATGGCACCGAGCAAAGTTGTACTGAAGCGAATGTCATTGAAGCTCCACTTGGCACTGTGGCTGGTGTAGAGGACGCGATTAGCGTCAAACGGGTCCGCGCGATAGTTGAAGGGACGGCCATAACGGAACAGAAAATCGCCTTTGGATGTGGCTGCCTCGGCGGTGGTGATGGAGCGGTCGATTACGTAGATTTCGCTTGTGTGACTGATGAGACAGCGCATAAGAGCAGCAAAAGGACAGCATAGAAGAGACAAAGCGTGACGCTCTCACCGGGACGATATCATGATCTGGTCCAGCTGCTCGTTGTAGTCGAGTGAGTTCCAGTGAAGCCAGTCCACTGAAATTGAAAAGCTTATGTCCCTCGCTGTCACGGGCGGGATATTGATATCCAGTCTGTAGTAGTAGTCGTCTGGATGGTCGCAGTAAGGGACGTAATTGTCCTTGCTCCGGTCAAAATCCTGGACCACAAGAGCGATACAGAGACAAAGGGGGAAGCCACACACTTACCTGGATCAGGTGGTCCCACATTCTCCAACCTGCCAGTGCACGACAGAATTTAATGGCAGACAGCGTGATTTACACAAACATAATTCTGCTGTGGTGCCTCTCATCCTATACTTACGCCACACTTCTTCTGCTGATTTCTTGCCGACCGGCGTGACCTCGACGATCTCCTCTGTCAGAAGATAGCCCGACTTGTTTTGGTTGTCTGGTACGTCTCGTGCAGGGTCGCGGCCGGCCTGAATGGCCTCAGCGTAGTCCTTGACGACCCACAGGAGGTACAAGATGTTGCCGTTCGGCAGCTCAATTGCCTCGTGGTGCTGAATGGCGACGCGCCCCCTCTCGAATTTTGTGGTGTTGAACTCCCACTCAATCTGTATATATAAAGGTGTATGTGTGCATCTCTTTCGTCAGTGCAGTTTCCGTACCTCATCGTTGTGATTGACCATTTGCAGGATGCCAGCGCGCCCACCGTACGGGAAAACCGGATCCTGACGCAGAGGGGGCCGAGTGATGTCAGTGGCAGCCCGAAGGAGCCAGCCATTCCTCATGATGGAGGCTGAACCAGACGCCGGCGGACCAGCCGCTATGTTGAAGGTCTTGGCGACGCACAAGTTCGAATCATAGAGATACGCCACGTTGGTCCCGAGGGGCGCCCACAAAGTCAGCTGGTCCATACCTTTCCCTGGCATGCTGCCTCCACGTCCGGTGTTCTCGCTGAGGACTGATAATACTGAGGCCACACAAAAAGGCAGCCGTTCCATCTGTGCCAGTCCTATGGCATGTGCGGTCATCTCTGTGCATGGCTGACCACCTGATGTGTTGGAGGTGAGGTTGCCCTGATGCATGGAAGTATCCACGTCATC